ACGCAGGGGGACCCGCCTCCGCCGAGTATGAGGCACCACTACGACTCAAACACCGCTCTAACCCCCCCACTCGTCGTCCTCCCCCCATCCCTCGCCCTCCTTGCACTCCCACTCCCCTTCTCCCTATCCTCATCCCTCGAACTCTCCTTCGTCCTCTCCCTCTCCCTCTCCCCACCCCCATGCTCCCGATGATTCCGCTTCGTCACCGTCACCGCCGTCGGCCTCCTCCCCCCACTACTCGGATGACTGTGCTCGTAGCCCGGGTGCGACAGCTCGTCCTCATTCACCACTGGGAACCCCTGTCCCATCTGAGAGGAAGACGCCTCGGGCGAGGCAGATGACGCGCGCATATACTCGTAATCAAAGTTACTCTCGTACTCGTCCTCGTCTTCCACACTCACTGGGAAGGGGACAGGAACAGGGACTTGCTGCTTTGAGGATTTCTTCTTTTTAGGTGCGGAGGAGGTCGATGAGGACGATTTGGAGGAAGAAGTGCGCGTGTGGAGGGGTGGGGCGGAGAGTTTCGAGGAGCTGGTGTGGGTCGCTGCCGCTGATGAGGAGGAGGGATACTGCGCCTGTGCCTGCTGAGACGCCGACACCTTCGACGCAGCAGCCCTCAACACGCTCGGTATAGGTCCCTTCCCAATCCCAGACGCAGCAGTCAAACTATCGCTCCTCGGCGTTGGTACACTCGGATCCACCCAGTCGTCCTCGATATCGCTCTCTTCATCCTCCTGCTCTTTCCCCTGCCCCTTCTTCCCGCTCCGCTCCACCTGGAACCCCTCAAACCTCGTCCCCGGCCCAGGCGTAATCGGCCCCTCCGCATCCTCCTCTGTCGAGCGGTTCGACTTGCTCGACCCCGGCACACTCGCAGACGACAACGACGCACTAGCCGAGCGTCCCTCGGAGTGTGTATCAAAGAACTCTTCTTCATCGTCACTGCTCGACTTGTTGGTTTTCGCCTTTGCACCGAGCTCATTGTCGTCATCATCGTCGGAAAGCGCGATGATGGCGTCGTCCGGCTCAGAGATGGATTCAAGCCCCATGTGGTCGTCCGAGTCGGAGGGCCAGTTCGGTGGCTCGTCTTGCACGGAGAAGATCGTTTTGCAGCGCTTGCCCATCTACATTCCAAACATCAGCGGGATGCATAGAAAGCACGAAAATAAACGCCACGCCACGCACCTCGCCGATCCTCGTCCTCAAATCCCTCCACTCCTCCTCACTCCTCACCACAAACCCAATCAACATACTCGGATCCAGCCCACTCAGCGGCATCTTCCGCACGCGATCGCAGTGGAACGTCCTCAGCTCAGCGGGGGTGTACGCAGAGAGCAGATGCACGTCGTACGGCGACAGCTCTTCCTCCTCCTCCTCTTCGTCGTCGTCGTCGTTCCCGTACGGTGTCGACGAAGAATCGCCGTACAACTCCCGGATATCCATTGGCTTACTCCCTCCACTCCCCTTCCTGAATCCACTCCCACTCGCACTACCTCCGCTCGCATGCCTGACGATCCCCCCACTCGTGCCCCTCACACTCCCACCCATACTCTCCGCGGGACTGGTAACCCTCACACTCCCCACCGGGCTCTTCAAACTTCCCCCCGCCGCACCAGCGCTGGCAGGCTTCATCATCGGATTCCCATAGCTGTAGTTGTTCTTGGCTGCTGAGGAGGGTGTCTTGGACGGGGCCTTGGACGACGAGGAGGAGGACTTCCCGAACCCGAGTTTCCCGCGCTTCATCCCCCCACCTCCCGACGCCGAAGACTGGGACGAAAACGCGCTACTAGACGGCGAGTATAAACTCTGCGTGTCCTGCTCGCGCTTAGAACCGGGTGTGATAGTCTGCGACGAAGCGGCTGTCGATTGGCCTGGCGTTGGTGCGGGGCTGTGTGCGCGTCAGAACATTGTACGTGTGCGTCAGAACATGGTAGCTGGATGGAATAGATGGAAGAACGTACCTCCCTCCAAACACCCTCAACGGCACACTCCCCCTCGCATGATGCGGATCCAAGTAGAACAGACTATCTCCCTGTGCGCCTACAAAGTAGTATGACGAGGACGGCCGGCCGCCTGCGATGCCGACAGATTGGGGGAAGGTGAAGAGAGTCTGTGGAGGGAGTGTTAGTACGGGCCTTTGAATGTATGGATAAACGGGTTGGGAGGGTGGGAGAAGGTGGTATGGTTGAAGAAGGTGGTATGGTTGAAGAAGGTGGTATGGTTGAAGAAGGTGGTATAATGGAAGAAGGTGGTATAATGGAAGAAGGTGGTATAATGGAAGAAGGTGGTGTGATGGGTGAAAAGGCGCTACGTCTGAAGAAGGATTCGCATGTAGATATATGTGCATGAAAACGTGGGAGGATGGAGGGCGAGGGTTGACGAGGAGAAAAATGAACGTGGCAGCGCGCAAAACGGTGCAAAGAAGAGGCAAGAGAGAAAGCGAGGAAGCGAAAAGGGAAGGGAAGAAGCGCAAAGAGCAGTAGACAAACACAAGCACAAACACAAAAAACCATAACCCACCTTAACAGTCTCATAATACACCGGATTCACACCCTCGATCCCCAACCTCGTCGTAACCAGTATCAACACCGCCTTATCCCCCCATCCCCTCCTCTCTCCTCCCCTTCCTCCTGCTCCTCCTTTTCTTCTCCCGGAACTGGACTTTCGTTTGGCGTAGGGGCCACTAGGTCCGTACCCGCTCTCCTCGGAGCTACCAGCACCCGGGTCTTTCCCCCAGCTGGCGTCGTACACCTCATTCCCATAAACGACCCCTTCCCCACATACGACGACCCCTAGCCCCATCCTCTCCCCACCACCTCCCATTCCCTCTCTCCCCTCGCCCCTCATCCCCTCCCCACCTCCCATTCCCTCGTCGTCCCTTTCCCCCGCTGACAAACTATCGAAATACGCATCACACAACACCTTGATCCCCCCCGCCGCCGTACTCGGCCCAAACCACATCCCCACATCTTTCCCGTGCAGCTCTTTCCCTGCTAACGCGAGGCGATGCACGGAGAAGGGGGAGAGGGGGGATGGGGTGTCGAGAAAGAGGGTTAGGAGGTGGGTGTATAGTGCTAGGTCTTTGTTAGAGGGCGGGGGGAGGTGGGAGGGGGATAGGGAGGGGGATGGGGAGGTGGGTAATGATGTGGTAGAGGTGGTGTAGGGCGGGGATGGGTTCGGGAGGGACGGGGCGTGTGGAGGTCGGAAATCTGCCACGCGATACATCCCATTAGTCACTAGAGGAGAGAAGAGAGAAACATGAAGACGCAACGTACCCCGTCCCAACCAAACAACCACCAAACAATTCGCAAGCATACTCTGTCCCGTCCTAAGCATACATCCCCAACCCGCATCGCTCGTCCATCCTTTTTCCCCGCCGCCTCCGGTCCAGGAGAATCGGCCGCCTTTATCCTTTCCCGCTTTCGACGAGGAGACTTTGGAATTGGAGGAAATACGCTTAGCGGAAGGGGAAGCTTCGGTATCGTACCCCTGCCTATCCAATGAAGAAGAGGGATATGAGCGGTCCCGGTCGGTAGAGTATCCACCTGGAACAGGGTGCGTATGATACCCTCTATCCGTACTATACCCCCCTCGCCCTCCTCCACCCCCTCCTCCTCTCCTATCATGGAGGCTCAACTGCGCAACAGTTTTCTCCAACTCCCCAGCCGTCCATTCCCACGGCGAACAAGGCGGTGGTAAGTCGGATAAGGTAGTGTCCCGAATAGCAGGGAAGTCCTTGCGGTAAGTAACCCATACGCGGGAGATAAAGTCTGCGTAGAAAACGGGGGGCCAGTTCGCGCCTGGGTCTTTCGACGGGTCTAACGCCTGTTGTTGTTGCCCTTTCCCTCCAGTACTCGCGACAAGAGACTTGTTCAACGATGTGTGAGATGAGGATGACGCAGACGATGTGGACGTATCCAAACTCCCTCTCCTATCACCGCCCTGATGACCCGGGAAACTCGACGGCGGATGCATCCCCGCCGCCGTTGGAGGAGGAGGAGGGGGCTCCCACCCCCGATGTAAAACCCCCATTAACCAAATCGGTTCCGGGCTCTTATCCGGCGTCGAGTCCGAATCGAGGATATACCTCATCGCCCTATCCAAATGACCCTTCCCATGCTTCGCTACGTTCAATAATGCGCTTCTCCTCCCTGGGGTGCCTGTGCTCGTGGAGTTCGAAGAAGCGGCGGTGGTGGGGGAGGCGAGGAGAGAGGGGAGAGAGAGGTCTGTGGTGGATGATGAGAATGTGTGTGCGAACCATCCTGATAGACGGGTGGGGATGTCGTTCATTCTTGAGTGGTGGGGGTGGGAGTGGGAGATTGATGAGGAGGAGGGGGAGCTAGGTGGTGATGAGGCTGTAATAGCTTGGGAGGGAGAGCCGGCGATGGGCTGACTGGCGGATGGTGCGTGTTGTTTCCTCGGAGTTGTTGGGTCCACGGAAGAAGGGGAAGGTGTGATGATGGAAGAAGAGGTGGAAGAGGGAAGGGAAGAAGTACGTTGAGCCTGTTCCACGACGCTCGTTGATTTGCTCCGGTCTCGATTCCCCTTGTTCGAAGTCAGGAACTTGGGTAACTTGCGACTACTCGGTGGAGATGTCGGCGGTGGGATTGGATTCGAAGGAGATAAGAGCGCAGAAGAAGAAGGTGAAGACGCAGAAGATCGGGCGTGGGATTGGGATTGTTGAGGTAATAATAGCTGAGAGGAGGATGGGGATGGGGATTTTGACGACTGGGAGGAGGAGGTCAAGGCCGATTTCGTATTCGATGGTCCGGATTTATCTCGAATTCCGCTCATGTCGGAGTCAGATAAGATCCACCCACAAAGTCGTTACGAGAAGAACCAAAGAAGAATGAATCCGGAATTTGAGGGCAAGACAGCCAGGCGGCAGTCAGCGCTGAAGAACAACAGCGTTCAAGGAGACAGGCAGATCTGATGATGGGCTGACGAAGCGCGCTGACAAAGATTACAATTGCTCCTATTGTTTACAGATAATCCACCTTCATGGCGCTATAGTGTAGTGGTTATCACCCGGGATTCTGATACAGTACCTGTGTACAGAAGAAATCACATTCCCGTGACCCAGGTTCGAGCCCTGGTAGTGCCTCTGGTGGGGCCTATAATGTACTTTTTTCTGAAACAAAATTGTGCCCAGGTTTAGGGCTCCAACCACATTGTATCTGTATACGCACATGCCCATACAGATACAGATACGGTTGGAAACAGTATGTATTGTATAATACTGTATTTGGGTTCTGGGAGTGTCACGAGTGTGATGAAGTGGTTGAGAGTGTTGTAAAGAACGAGTGGGATTTAGTGTATTTCTCTTTTCTATTTCTCCAGAGTTTCCGCTTTCTGTGATTGTTCCCATCAATGGTCTCTGATGTAGTTTCTCACTTATAGTAGCTTGTATTTCGGACATTCCCCTTTTCCCATCTTGACCTCTTTGTGGTCTTTGGGAATAGGTGGGTATTCATTCCGTGGTTGTTTAGCATTCCTAATCTAGCTTTGTGGTCTTTGGGAATGGAGCTTCGTATTGACTTCGCGTCTACGTCCATATCTTCCAGATCATCCCTATCCTCTCAGACCTGTCAAGTTCTAGCTCCAGGTTGAACCCTTCACATTTCGCTTCGCTACACAAGGGTTGGTGTTGCGTGCAGTGATAATGTTTACACAGCAACATCAGGAGCAGCAATAAGCATGCTCTACTGATCATTGTGTGCAGTGCTGAAGCATGCACAGCGGTTGTCCGGAGCTGCAATCTATAGATTGCGCATCTCAATCTCAAGATCATCCAAGCAGTAAATGCATTGAGGATGTTGGCAAGAGCCTGAGAGCTAAGCTGTGCAAATCATTGGCAACAACAAATGCAGCAAGCTGCTTCTCAGGGCCCATAACCTATTGGAGGTACAAGTGTGTGTGTAGCGCAGAGTACAATAGTACCAGCAGCATACAAGTAGATAGCCTGTCAGACCAATAATAATCTTGAGGGACAGAGCTTAGGAGTAATACTACATGATGGAGGGCAAGATGGAGCCGGACAACCCACGGGTTGCCCAAGGGCTTCAAGGTAGCCCTCCGGACCCGGACCCGGAACCCGGATCAACCCGGCTGACCCGTATCATTCACTAGTGCTGAATATCGGTGTAAATTACCGGTACTCACTCGCAAACATGACAAGCACCAACGCTATTTGTAAGGATCTGGTATGTGCAGTTGTAAGTAAGTAAACATTGCTTGGCAGCACTTATAACCGGTGGTGGACCGTCGCTCGCTCCACCTTACGCAGGATTGTCGCTACTTACGACCACATGTTAGATTCATGCTCTGCTTGAGACCGGTTGTGGCTCAAGAGCGATCTTATGAGTGCTCAGATGTTGTCAAAATGCGATAAGTTTCGTCAGTAAGTTGCAAGCAAATCAACAATTTTCCGACAAGGACCTCAGGACTCTGGATAATCCAGGGATAATAATCTACACCAAGACTGTCACCGACTTGGCTTTCCCGCCACGGCCAAAGGAGCCACAGTCCCTTGACCACCGCTTTTCCCAAGGCCTTCTACTGTTTTTCAACCGTCAGACGCGCTTCCACCGAGATAAGAAGAGAGAAACTGTATATACTGTATATATACTGTTACAAACCGTATGCCAGGTAGGGCGTATAGATACAGATACACATACAGTAAATACAGTATAAAAACTGTACAATACAGATACGGTTGGAGCCCTAAGTAGACCTTGGTGTATGAGCAGCGAACGTCGAGCGCAAGATGGAGCCATAAAGATTGGATGAAAAATTAAAGAATACGAAGCGTAGCAAGAGTCCCATAAACTCGTCGGATTCCCTGTGGCCATAAGCTCAACCACGAACAACCCAAGCCGAATCCTGCCACCGTATCTTTCGCTGGGGTGCCCTGAGCCGTTTATCAAAAGATGGCTCGCTTGTAGAGCAGGGACGTCCGTGCGAGGGAACGCGATTGAGGTAGGAGACAGCGGCCTTAACTAGATGTAGCGAGATGATGGTTGAGGAGAAGGATGGTGGCGGTCATCATTTCTCTAGTGCGCTTTGGACGTCACGCAATCCGGACAATAAGCGGCGCCCATCAGGACGAGCAGTCGATATACATGATACACTTCATAAATTCGAAAGCAAGCTCAAGCTGTTGATACATGGGAATATTCTTTTTACTATGGAAGAAGGGTAGGTAAAATGGCCTAAACTTGGTCTTGCCGACCGACCATCGAACCATCGGGAGGACCGAAGTGCTCAGTTTCCTCCAGTCCAGACGGCCGGGCCAGGGATGGGGTAGGGGTGGCCTACAGTTGCAAGCGCGATCAGCTCTGAAAACATGATTCTAGCGGAGGAAAAAGTACTCACTGGGGGCGGTGCTGTAGATATCGTACACAATTCCGGGGGTGCTACCGGTGTAAGCACCTGGAGAAAAGGCGTTAGCCCCGATGTCATGCATTGTGATTAAAGGTGTTTATTCGTACCTGGGAACGAGACGAAAGACGTAGGGAGGGCGTTTCCTGACCCGGTGACCTGGACCTGGATACACGCGGGGTATACTTGGGCACCTGGGTAGCTGTAGGCTGTTGCGAAGCGAGTCAGTCATCTGAGTACGAAATCAAGACAAAAGAATGAGTAGCTAACCAGAGTGCAAAGCGATACTGGGGAGAAGCCAAGTGAGTAAGGGATCTAGTAAGAAGGAGAAGGGGAAGCAACGCACATCTCATGCCTGATGATGTACTGGCCAGGGCGCAGGTTCTTGGGGATGGTGAAGGTGTAGAGACCCTTGTTCTGGACGAAGAGCTTCTCCCACGCCCCCCACTTGCCGGAAGAGTCCTTTCCTTCCTCGTGAACCTTGAACCAGACAGCACTGTTTCCAGGACTCCACTTGGTGATGTCGGAGGGAGCACGAGCCATGTAGGTGATCACAGGCCCCTGCAGAACGCCGTTCGTCAGAAATTGCGCTGAATGACCTCTGAGTGATGAGGCTCACCTTGTGACTGTCGGGCCAGTCGGGAGTCCACTGCAACTTCATTTGCGATCCAGCCGCGACGGAAGCAAGAACGGGAGCAGGCTTGGAACCAACAACGCCGCCGGCAGTATAGCCATTGCACTGCACGCTATTCACGATAGTTTCAGTAAGGCTGCGGAAACACAAGTGGACGGTGTATCACGTACTCGATGAGGGATACGTCCTCGACTGGGCCGTTTCCTGGGATCTCACGGATGATCCTCTGGGGCTTGGGGCTCTGGAAATGCAAAGGTCAGCATCGAACGAACTGATCTGAAACGAGGACAGCAACACTTGCCATGTAGGGATCCTGGTAAGGCAGGTATCCAGTCCACTTCTGGGAGCCGACAGAAACCTCCGTGACATAACCGTGTCCGAAGGCGCTGGGTAGAGAAGAAACCGCGAGGGCGACACCGAGGAAGAGGGTACCAAACATTGTGCAAGTGACAAAGGCGAGCGAGTGAGTTCGTCTGAGTCTCATGCACCCACAACCTTGCCTTATATACTTTTCGACCTGAGCGACCGTCGACCCGTGTTGGCTAGCAGATGGGCCGTGAGGCACATCAAGCCGAGAGGCGTTGTCGAGCTGATAGGCGTTTGCACACTGCTGACGAGTTAATTGTGCGACGTTGGGCCGTGGTAACCAGGTGTAGTAAGGGGAAAAGAGACAATTTGGCTTGCAATGCGGGGGTGGGGTGATGGTTCGGTGCCGGAGATCATTGATCGCTATACCGAGGATGAAGCGTTGATTTTCCCGAGATCCAGTTGACAACATTGAGAAGACAACATCGAGAAGAACAAGCTTAGAGGTCGTCTCGAGCGGTTAACGATGACCCACTGAGAGCCTCAGTGTGGACAGGGGATAAACCAAACTCCCTGTTGCCTAAGGAATGACTGGTTTCTTCGCGATCGAATCAACCAAGCTTTACGATTTTCCGGTCCTCGTTGCTCTATCACTGGCGGCTAATAAAGAGAAACCTTTGGATGCCAGGCACCGCACACCGGACTCTGTTGCTGAAGTTACTGGGGAATACGAGCACAGAAGCACGAGCTCAGCCTAGACCAAGACGTCATGTCCTTTGGGCTTGTGTGATAACGAGAACATGAGCGCAACCAGGACTATTTGCGGATCAGAAGCACGTACGTAGGCGAAGCACAAATTCCTCACCTCTATGCAGACTGTCCGGATATCCGTGGGTACCATGCAAAGACGGTCTTGGAAAACGCAAAAGGACATGCTTGATCTTCTTCGGCGAGTCGCCCACTCCGCAATGTCGGTCTTGGACCTTGCAAAGGGCAGCATGTGCAATCTTCTCCGAGCACTCGCACTATCGACGGCCCGCAGACCACGAGAAAAGGAATACACCTATGGATTAGATCGCTACCAAGTTGATATCTGCAACTTGTTGTTCCGAAATATTGCCACCAAGAAAAGCACCGCAGCAAGAACCTCCATCACCTGTTCGAGAGGTTTAGCCGCGTTGCACTGACCCCGAGGGAACCTCAAGGAAAGGTCAAGGAACGACTTACCCCTGCAAAGATACACCCCGCGTACCAGGTCCGACTCCCAGACCCAACATGAGCCAGCGCGGTGGAAAGAGGCGCACCGACTAGAGAGGCGATACCAAAAGGCACACATGCGATACCTAGACCCAGATTGCCGAGACGACGAATCAGTACTATCTTCACATCACGAGTAGGGAGTATATCGTACCCTGAGGTGCGCCGGTCTGAGTCCCAAGAAAACACGGCAGGGCAAAGAAGCGCGAAGACTGTGGACAAGTCAGGATCGCGTTGGAAGTAACGTAGGTCCGCATAGCGTACCTCCTCCAGAAAAGACACCATAAAGCACACAGAAAGCCACAATAGCCGCAGAACCCTTCCACAAGAACATTGTCATCGGAAGCACTCCTAAACTCAACCATCTATCAGCGAAAAAGCACCACTCGAACCTCAGTAGAGTACTCACCACTGATCAGCGCACAAGGCGCTATAGTTCTAACAGGACCGTACCTATCACCCAGGTACGTCAACACAACCCTTCCGACACAACTACTAAGGTCGATGATCCCTAAAAACCACCCAAT